TGTATCATACCAAAAGAAGGTAATTTTGTTTTAAGAAAATGAGTCTCTTGCAGAAACACTATATCTGCCTGGGTTCATTGAGTATCTTTAATTAGCATGCACCTTTTATGACGTGTGTTAAGACCTCGAACATTGTGGGAGTATAATCTCATACTATGAAAAGATGACTGAGAGCTAAAAAAATAAATAAATCACAAGAGTATCTATATTTGCGGGTTTGCCTATAAGGAGATTTAGAAAATTGGGCAGACTAGATGGGCCGAATGGTTCTTATCTGCCGTCACATTCTATGTTTCTATGTTTCTATGAGATGTCCCACGATGAGGAACAAGGTGGTGTAAGCTGTACTTCAACTATTTATTCGATATATAGTACTATAGTGGATTGCGCCTGGTAGAAGGTTCTTCCAAAGGCTCTATACCAGAAAAATACAGAGACTGGTTAAGAGGAGTCTATACCATATATCCTAATAAGGAAAATTACATTCAGGCAGTTGTAGTATAGTAAAGTAAGCCCAAATAAGATTGCGGACAAGCTTGGTAGTCTGCATGATAATACTTGGGAGTACATGGTGAACATAAAGTGTTGGTGGAAATATAGGTACCATAGGGAGGATAGGCAGGGCAGGGTAGGTGAAATACAAACAGAATACTTCCAAAAAAACTGAACACACACAAAAAACATTAAAAAAGTAGATACCTCGGTGCCCAAACTAGTGGGCATACCATGGAAAATATTTCCATGGGTGGCATGAATTACGGCCGGGGGTTTCCCAGGGTAAATAGGGCTGGCCAGGAGGTGTAAGCGATTTCTAAATCAAGTAATCAATGGAATTTAAATACAGTTTAAATTACAAGCTATCGCATATTAAACCTGGATCAAGAGATTGGGCTTAAGTCTGCTAACAGAAAAAATATATAATAATCATTCAACATATACAACCAGAGGGTAAATACAACTGGTTAACGAAAAAGCAGTACAAATAAGCCAGCAGACATAGTGGCTGGTCATATTAGCGACAATAAACCATTAGCATATAAGAATATGAAACTTATTCATTCTTTTCCTTTACTTTTTTCTTTTTCCCCTTTCCTTCCCCTTATCCCCCTTTTTTCCTTTTTACTTTCTTTTTTTCCCTCTTCCCTTTCCCTTTCCCTTTCCTTTTACATTTTTCTTTATATATATTTTTTTTTTTTTTAAGAAAAAAAGAGGGGAAAAAAAGTTGTTTGACTGTGTTTTGTATTTTGTTGTTTTAGGGCCTATTAATTAAATTATCAAAAAATGCACAAACCTTCATCAGGGCCTTGATGATTGTCATAGTACCATTCGTGTTCACCAGTAGCTTGGTGGGAAAACCCGAGTGATACAAGATGTGGTGCTCAGGTAGGGCTGCAGTCACCGGCTGGTAGGTCTTCCTGGTCTGCAGCGTGGCAGCTGAGAAATCAGATTAAAAAAAAAATGTGATTTGAGAATATTCTACAGTTAAGTCCGTTCTTGCGCAGCTGGCTTTCAGTATAATCTCCTGAGAGTGAAAATAATGTGCCTTCAGAATGACATCTCTAGGAACGGTTTCAGGTAAGTGGCGGGGCGTTGAAGCCTATGGACTCTGTCCATTAACAGGAGGTTGCTAGAGAGGTCTGGAGCCAGGGTTCGAAATAGGCTTGTGATAAATTCTCTTAGACCATGCAGTTTCACAGATTCTGGAATGCCACGTAACCTGAGGTTATTCCGGTGGGACCCATCTTCCATATCCGCCATACGTGCTTCTATTCTGGTCTCCGGCTGCTGCATGGTTTCTGCTATGGAATTGTGGGCCTCAGCATACTCTCTCATCTTCTCCTCTATATGTGAAGTTCTGGTGCCCAAATCCTGGATGTCTTTGCGGAGAACATCCATGTCTGATTGCCAAGTAGCCATTAATTTAGCTGCGAGAGCATTCAGAGATGTCTGAAAAAACCTGCGGGTCAGAGGGTCCATTTCCACAGACGAGTCCACCACATGTGGTGGGCTTGCGTCCTCAGGCTCAGCGGCCTGAGGATTTCTTGTTCCGCAGATGCTTTTGCCATTTTTTGTTGGAAGAAATTCCATTTTTTGGCACGCTCTTGCAGGCGCTTAGACTTGTTTTGTGATATTGTGTGGGTCAGAGATTAGAGGTAAACAATAGTGCCAGGAAAACAAACTTGTTTTCCTGGTGCTATAGCTTTCCTCTCTGTCAACTCCCCCTCCCCCCCTCTTCATGGTGCACAAGGAGATGAAGTGGTCTGGGTGTCTATAGTGTCCCTTTAATACCCCCACTCAAAGCTCATGGTTCGAGATATGGACAATATCATGTCCTCTCCCTTCAGGATATTTAAATAGCCCCCACCTGCTACCCATGGTTGGATGAGTAGGATATTAGGCCCCTCCATTTATTAATATTAAAGCCCCACCTCCAGCCCACTTAGGTTCCACCGTTATTAATATTCAACCCCCCACCCTCTAGCCACCACCATTACTTAATTTGAACCACTTAGCGGATGGGCAAAGGGGTATTCCCATGAGGATGGTGATTTTTCAGATGAACAGTTGCTAGTTTTAATTCCTATGAGTAGGGCTGGCTGCTCACTGTTAGTAGACATGCCCCCACATGCGGCATGCTTAGGCATATTTTTTCTTTAAACTATTTCATGTGGCGGGTGGTTAGCCACCACAGGTTCACCCACTGACGTGTTTAGTTCATCCGAATTGGTTGTCATGACCATATTTCAGTTAAATCGTTCAGCACTTGGACTTCCCAAACAAATTTCCAATTCTGAAAATGTTGTTCCACAGAACCGAACTAGTATTAAAATTGCTCATATAATGATGTACATAAATGACAGTCACCACAAGAAAAAAAAATAGGGATAATGCTTTTTTTTTCATACAGGTGCAATATTGTGGGTATCCTTAACACCTGCAGTGTTTGGGGCTTTGGTGAATTCAAATGAGTAACTCAAATACAAAGTGTAATTATGTCCCAGTTAAAAAAAAAACATTGGCAGACCTGGGAATTTTAGGAGATTCTGTAATTAACAAGTAATCAACTAATTAACTTTCTTTCCTATTCCACTTGACAAAATGTTAAGGTTTTTTTTTCTGGAAACTTAGCTTGCCAGGAAATAAACACATTCCTTAATTAGAGAGTGAATAAACATTAACATTGATTGCATCTAATGCATTTTGTATCCTGACTGGTAAATTTAAGTCATCCATATTTTAAAATTTGATGAACTAAACCTCTAAGGCAACCCAAAATGAAGAGAATGTTACACAAATATGAAATATTTACCTTTAGTAAATATTCCCTATCAAAACTTCTATTTATTCCCATTTAAGTGTAAATGTCAGATATAGACAGATGGACTACTTTCATCATATATGGAATCATTGGTGAGGTTTGCTCCTCCTGAGACATGTTTGTGTTACTATGGTGATTTTTACATTTTGGGATTTCTTGACAATGGCCTCGTACGCAGAAAACCAGCACAATTGATAGAAATGTCATTTGTTGGCAGCCAGCTCTCTTTGCTTTCACTAGTCACATGTTTTTCAAGAGACAAATAACCTTCAACCTAGTTTTTATCCCTCGTTGCTCTTTATGTTCCCATACCAGAGAAATGCTCCCTCTCTATTAGATACTGATTGTCGTCTTAGGACTTGGTGTTAACTAAGTGTATTGTTTATATAAAAGCAAGGGTTTACTGTGCTTTATGACACAAGTAAATACAGATTTCTAAATACTCTCTCAAAAGCTCTAATACTAACTAAAGCCATAATAGACAACATAAAAAATAAAATAAATAAAAAAAACTTAAAATGTAGTTCAGGTTATTCTTCATCTTATTGTGTTTTGACTTTGGGAAATATTAATTCACTCCCTAGTCTGACCTTGCACATTACAGTGAAACTCCAATTATATCCGCAATATTCTATTTGTTTTGACAAGATAAGGCAGTCTTGGTGCCCGTTATTTGCTATGGGCATCTTAAATGAAGCCGATCCCCATTATCTACCAATTCAAACATCATTAAAAAGAATAGATGGATAAGGAAGAGCAAATTAAGAGAAACTGGGGAAAAAAATTAGATTTCACTTCATTGTTTACACCAAAATAATACTAGCAAATCTAATAGCAAATTATTAACAATATACTTAACCCCTTAAGGACTGAGCCAAATGTGCATGTTTTGATCAAAATAGAACGTAAACAAAACTTAGAATTTGACTTTATGTCTGTTCAACTGTAATTCACCTCTTTCAAATTAAGTGCACTCACACTTATTATATATCATTTTATTCAGGTGAAATAGGACTTTCATTTAACATCACATATTTAGCTTTGAAACATAGTTTAATATGAATAAAATATAAAACAATGTGAGTAATTAAGTAATTAAGTTATTTATTTTAGTTCTGCATGACATTTTAACTGTGAATGTCATAATACTGTTTGCTTTTACTGCGATAAAATACACATATTTGTATTCAGCAAATTCTCACGTGTAAAACAGTACCCCCTATGTACAAGTTTTATGGTGTTTTGGGAAGTAACAGGGTCAAATATAGCATGTTACATTTTTCAGGCTTTTCCCATTGAAATTCACCAGATTGGTTACGTTGCCTTTGAGACCGCATGGTAGCCCAGGAATGAGAATTACCCCCATGATGGCATGCCAATTTGCAATAGTAGACAACCCAAGGTATTGCAAATGGGGTATGCCCAGTCTTTTTCACACACGACAGCACTTTTACTGACGATGTTATTGTTGTAATAAGTTTTATTGTTTTGAAACACTAATGTTTGTGTTCAGTGAAGTCTTCCACGTATAACAGTACCCCCCATGTACAGGTTTTATGGTGTTTTGGAAAGTTTGAAATGCAAGCCTTATACTTGACTCTCTTTATCTTCACACTGAAATTTGCCAGATTGGTAATATTGCCATATGGTGGCCCAGGAATGAGAATTACCCCCATGATGGCATACCATTTGCAAAAGTCAACCCAAGGTATTGCAAATTGCAAATCCAGTCATTTTTAGTAGCCACTTAGTCACAAACACTGGTCAAATTTTTTTTTTCTTTTTTAACACAAAAACAAATATGAACGCTAATTGTGGCCAGTGTTTGTGACTAAGTGGCTACTTAAAAAGACTGGACATACACCACTTGCAATACCTTGGGTTGTCTACTTTTGCAAATGGTATGCCATTATGGGGGTAATTCTCACTCCTGGGCTACCACATGGTCTCAAATGTAACATTACTAATCTGGCAAATTTCAATGTGAAAAAAGGAAAAATGGAAAGTGTTATTTTTGACCCTGTAACTTTCCAAAACTCCGTAAAACATGTTAATGGGGGGTACTGTTGTACTCGTGAGACTTTGCTGAACACAAATATGTGCATTTTATTGCCGGAAAAGCTAACAGTATTATGACATTTACAGCTAAAATGTCAGACTGAACTACAAATATTTTTTAAAAAAAATCAAAATTTCTCACAGTTTTTTATTTTATTCATAATAAATTATGTTTCACATATAAATAGTTCATGAGGAATTAAAGCCCTGTCTCTCCTGAACAAAATGATATATAATAAGTGTGCACTTATTATGAAAGAGGTGATTTATGGTTGAACAGACATATAACGCAAATTCCAGGTTTTGTTTACATTTTGTTTTGATCAGAACGTGTACTATTGTCTTGGTCCTAATGGGGTAAAAAAGAACTAGTAAAAAATAAATAAAAAAAAATACAAAAATAAAAAAAGTTCTGGATCCACTTAGCTACACTGTAATTTATGCAAAAAAAAATAAAAAACATTTAACTGATAAAGAAAATGTATTTTCAAATATTGCAACCAGAATGAAAAACCTAATAAGTTTGTAAAAAATCACATGATTGTAAAATCTTTAGTTTCTGCTGGATTGTGGTGAATTGAATATGAAGAACTAGACCTTGCAAGTAAAACACTCAGCGAACTTTGTAGTTGCTCTATGTAAGACTCTTTGTCATTGCATATGTAGGCTGTACGGTATTCTAGCCATATCATAATATTACAGAAATCATTAAGCCACCTTCCATGTGTTGAATTAGGTGTTTAAATAAGACCCTTGACTTCCTCTGCAGCTTGTATTATGATTAATTTATCCGTCGTATAATTCCCTTCAGTACCAGATATTATTCTGTTTGAGAAGACAGAAATGAAACTTTCTTCACAGCATTCCCAACTCAGTGAATGATCTGTAAAATCACTGTGTCACATTGCTACTTCCAATGCCTCAATCAATCAGCTTTCTTGGTACAGTCTGTGTGCACATTTTCGTCTTTTTCAGAAATTTTAATTCCTACCATACAATGCCAAACATTATAAAAAAATTTTACACGCTCATTGTATGGCTGTGCCTACACTGTATAGTTTTTAAATAGCTTTTCAACAGAAGTATACAACAAATACTGTAAGTGATAGTGCCAATTCCCTGGCTACCAGGCACTTGCTTATTCATGGGATATGAGAAGATATGAGTATATGATGTCAAAAAAGAGTGGAGCAACTTAAAACTTCCTTCCTTTATTTTCTAGATATAAAGGAGAAAAGTATTAAGGTGAGAAGTTGATTGTTATGGGATGTATTTTGGTGTATATTTATATCAAAATACACTTAGAATGAAATTTTATATATATATATATATATATATATATATATATATATATATATATATATATATATATATATATATATATATATATACACACACACACACACACATATATATATATATATATATATATATATATATAAAATTTCATTCTAAGTGTATTTTGATATAGATATAGGGGTCCATCCAGGGCTGTCTTTAATAATGGTTGGCAAGCATTTGCTTGGGCCCCCTGGACCTTTCCTCCCAACTCCCTGACACAGCAGCAGAACTTAAGTAGAGAGGGCCCTGGCACAAGACTTATTTTGGGCCCCACTATTGCAAGGGTGGCCAAAAGGTAGATCCCCATTTGTCATGCCACTCCAACAATGCTTTGACAGCTGTGCCTCTACCATTTTCCCATGCTTGCAAAGTTGTATTTAGCACCTAGCAGTGTTTGTATGTTTGAATGTAAGCATATTTTTGTATGGAGTCTGTTTGTGTGAATGTAGGGGTGGGTTTGTATGTGGTGTTGGCGTTTGAATGCAAGCATACATTTATGTGTAGTGTTTGTTTTTGAATGCAAGGGTGTGTTTTGTTTTTAATTTTGGTGTTTAACACAGAGGTGTGTTTGTATGTAGTGTAAACATTTTAATGCAGGAATGTGTTTGTGTGTAGTGTTGAAGTTTGAATGCATGGGTGTATGTGTGTGTAGTGTTGACATTTGAATACTGAGATGTATACACATACACTGCCCCACACACACTGTGATACATACACACACACACACTGACACATTGTCAGGATCCTATTGTGACAACCAAACATATTTATTTTCTGCTGTTTTATTTACTCCAATACCTGTTTTCCACCACGAGTGGCCTCCCTAACCACTAGTTTAACCCCTTAAAGACAGAGCCAAATGTGCACGTTGTGAACGAAACAAAATGTAAACAAAACCTGGCATTTGCGCTACATTTCTGTCCAACCGTAATTCACCTCTTTCATATTAAATGCACCCACCCTTATTATATATCATTTTATTCAGGGGAAACAGGGCTTTTCATTTAATATCAAATATTTAGCTATAAAACATAATTTAATATGAAAAAAATGGGAGAAAATAAGAATTTTTTAATTTTGTTTAGTTCTACATGACATTTTAATTGTCAATGTCATAATACTGTTTGCTTTTACTGCAATAAAATACACATATTTGTATTCAGAAAAGTCTCACGTGTAAAACAGTACCCCCTATGTACAGGTTTTATGGCATTTTGGGAAGTTACAGGGTCAAATATAGCACGTTACATTTGAAATTGAAATTCGCCAGATTGGTTACGTTGCCTTTGGGACTTTATAGTAGCCCAGGAATTAAATTTACACCTATAATGGCATACCATTTGCAATAGTAGACAACCCAAGGTATTGCAAATAGGGTATGTCCAGTCTTTTTTAGTAGCCATTTGGCCACAAACACTGGCCAAAGTTAGCGTTAGTATTTGTTTGTGTGAAAAATGCAATAAACGACAATTTTGGCCAGTGTTTGGGACTAAGTGGCTACTAAAAAAGACTGGACATACCCCGTTTGCAATACCTTGGGTTGTCTACTATTGCAAATGGTATGCCATCATAGGGGTAATTTTAATTCTTGGGCTACCATAGGGTCTCAAAGGCACCGTAACCAATCTGGCGAATTTTAATGTGAAAAAAACGCAAGCCTTATATTTGACGATGTAACTTTTGAAAACACCATAATACCTGTACATGAGGGGTACTGTTGTACTCTGGAGACTTCGCTGAACACAAATATTTGTGTTTCAAAACAGAAAAAAGTATCACAGCAATAATATCGTCCGTGTAAGTGCTGTTTGTGCATGAAAAATGCAAAAAACATAACTTTTAATGGCGATATCATCGTTGTAATACATTGTTGTGTTTTGAAACACTAATATTTGTGTTCAGCGAAGTCTCCCGAGTATAACAGTACCCTCCATGTACAGGTTTTATGGTGTCTTGGAAAGTTATAGGGTTAAATATAGTGCTAGCAAATTAAATTCCCTTTACTTTCGGCATGGGTTGTCAGGCAGGTCCCGCTAATTGTAATTAATTAAAATACCTAATTATGTAAAAATATTACATAAATATATATGTAGAATTAATATATGTATATATATATGTGAATCTATATGTGTATATATATAATTTTTAAAAAATTATTTTTATTTATATATAGGTATATATATAGTGATATATACGTATATATTTATGTATGTAGATATATATATTATTTCGGTCTATGTGTAATTTCACCTTCCACCTAACTCCCGATCCCCTGGTCCGATCTGGGTGAATTTTTAATATGTCCATCACCCAGATCTGGGCTACAGGGGAGGAGATGTGTGGGAGGTAACTGTTATTGGCTACTATAATAATTACTGTGAATCCCTCCCTTGCATGGGAGAAAGCTTTAAAAGAAGGTTCAGTGATTAAAAGTTCAGTTCTGCTCCTGATTCTGTGTGTCGTCCAGTCATTGGGATTTATATGGGGATATTCGTGGATTACCTTGCTTGCTGTACTTATTGTTATATGGGATTTTATTACTTGTTCCTGAGCCTCACTCGGATCTTTAGTGGAGTTAACCTGTGAAAGGCCAGCTCTCCGCTACATGTGCCTTTTGTCATTTCCTGCATACAGGTATAACATTGATAACACAGGAGCTAGAGGAGACTAATTTACAGCTGGCATAGATGTGATTAAAATTTACTAATGTTATGTGAATTTTGAAAACAGCTGAAGCATTAAAACTTGTCAACATATCGACAGCGGAGCTTCCACACTTCATGCAAAGATTGATGGTGGCCCTACTGTCCCCAGGGCAGGCCACGAATGTTACCTTCGATGGCATCTTCTGAATCCCTAAACCTGGATGCAGCACCCAGAAACCTGGTGGTGCACTTTGCAAACAACAGAGGTAAGGCTGTTCAGGCAGACTGGAAGGGGAGTTCTCCTTACATCCTTGAAAATGCAGCACTATCCTTTTACGCTGGTCAGGTGACACACTACAATGGCAGAAAAATCTATACCCCTTCATCACCCTTCTCTGTGACCATGACCGCTGATACCATTGGCCCTTCTCAAGGGGTGCGCCTTCTCTTCTGAAGAGGTTGGTCCTTCTGCAAGACTCATAGATGGAACCCAATGAAGGTTTCTCTGTTTATCCCTCAGGGAGCCTATTTAGACGCTTATGCTGCGGCCACTACTTGAAGCTTCATACCACCTACTGGGTTTCACACTATCACTGATCAGAACTGTACGTAGTTATTCATTTGTTGTTTTGTCCTTTAATTTATTTTCTTTAAGTCTTTATTGTATTACTTTCTATTCTTGAAATGGCTCATCACATGTTGAGTCAGTAAAAGCAGTGCTATATTGGGTGGCACTTTCCAGGGGGCTGCAAAAAAATGCCACCCCCAAATGCCTTGTTAGCCTCGGGGCAGGTGGCTAACTGAGAGGGAGCTGAGCAGGGAGAGCTCAGAAATCAGCGTGTGTATGTCAGTGTATCTGAGA